TCATCGACCAAACTGTAGGAAGTTTCATCTGTCGAGGAGTGAGCAGTAGTGCGATATGACCACAGGACGTGAGAAAGTTCCTCGGCCCAAGCTCCTTTGGCATCGTGTAGTGTGGTCTTGCTGCATGCAAGACGGTTCTATTAATCAACTCTACTTGGCCGTTGGCTTGGGGATGAGCTACACTCGAGAATCGGCGGTCAATTTGCATTTCCTCGTACCATAACTTGAAGGGGTTGCTCTCAAACTGGGCCCCGTTGTCGGAAATGATTACCCTAGGTACTCCAAAGCGACAAACAATATTTTGCCAGAAAAAATTCTGCAACTATCATTTTTACAATCCCTACATCATTATGCCATTTGTTTTACAAATAGTACCATACATTAGCATCCTATGAGCCATGTTATATATTCGTTTTTCAGTATAACCATCTTTATTCCATTTATAAATATATTTTCCACTATAACTATTATTCAGTATATATTTCAATTCTTCATTAAAATATCTACAGGATAAGGTCTATTATAATAATATAACATTTGAGTAGGTTTATCAGTATACTTATTTAATACTCCCTCCGTCCCATAATTATTGTCCAGTTTTACTAAAATGAAAGATTTTATTTTTGGTCAAACTTAATTATATTTTACCTTAAACAACCGGATATACCCCTACATAAGTAATTCTTTAACCACTAAGATTTTATGGATAATGTTTTTTACTAAGGACAAATGTGTAATTTGATCCATAAAAAGTCAAATTGGACAATAATTTTGGGATAAAATTTTTTGGGCAAAGTGGACAATAATTATGGGACAGAGGGAGTATATTAATTTCATGATTTATTACTGTTTTATAATCTTTAGTTTCTCGTAATTTTTCTAAGAATTCTTCTTCTAGAGTATTAATTTTTAGATCTTTAAAGTTACTATCTATTAATTTTTCTATATCTGACAATTAGACTTTAATTTGAAATGTTTTATTTCAGGTGGTGGTTGAATAATTGGAGTAGCAACCGTTTCTATCATTGAACTATTAGAACTAGTAGAACTAATAGACCCACTGGTCTATGTCAAATTTATTAGTTTGTCTAGCCTATCTTGTATATATATAACTTGTTCTCCTAAAATCTTTAAGTAAATACTTTTATGATTATTAAATAATTTTAAAATGTAGAAAAACTGAAAATATTATTATCCTTTTCCATTTTAAAAGGTTGATGTGGAGGAAATACTCCTTTTAATATATTTCCATTCAAAAGTTTATAATATCTTCTAATACACATATGTGAGATTCAACATATGTTGAGATAAACCATGGAATAAAAAGAAATAAAATATTATGATGTGATAAAAACTTGTAAAATTCATCATAAATTAATTTTTGTGCTGCTAAAGAAAAATTCGGGAAAAATCACTTTCTAATGGTTCCCACCTTAAAAAAATTGAACTCTTCATTGACTTATTGTCTAGTCAAAGACTCTGGACTGAAATCTATTTTATTCATATTGAAAATGTCATTTCTGACTTAGTTATTTCTTCGTCTTTTGTATTATACACGCCTTTGACTATATTGTCATTATTGTTTACTAATTTTTCAACATGATGATTATTCTCATCACGTTCACTTGTCTGGGAAGTAGAAATACGATAAGGATGGTCACAAAATGAAGTAGAACCATGATGAGGAATATAATCTTTATCGTCTATTAGAGGTGAAATAAAGAGAGTGGAATATGACCGAGACAATTCGGATCTATAAGATTTGTTATTATTTAATAGGAATGGATTATTCCTCATTTGTATATAAACATGTCCTTCAAGAGTTTGTTCTATATGATCAAGTTCTGTATTGGTCTCTGACTGAATATTACCAGTTTTTTCTATAATCCATTGGTCCGAAATAGGTATTTTATCCCATTTAATGGTCCTTCAGGTTGTAATTTTTGATTTACTAAAATTAGTTTCAATTAAAACTGTTTTATTTATCTTTTTATCAATTAATTTACAATTGGGATTTAAAGTCATTAAAGGTTTGTAATAAATTCTATAACATATACATATTGATTCTGATCCAGGAATACAATTATAACCATGAGTATTAACATTTAAAGTTAATGTATCAAGTATGTGTTGACATCACTTAATGTTAATGACAAATTTAGATACACATTAAAATATGCGGGTCTATGTGCAAGACTTGACTGAATCATTCCCATTAAAGATTGTTTCCAATTAAGATTTCTTGCATCACGTAAACAAGCTACAAAGCTTTCAGGCAAACTTTTAAAGTTAATGGTTTGAAAACAATTTGCACAAGTCCAATATAAATGAATTTATACAGTTGGCCATATCTATTTACATGATCTTTGCTAGATTATAAATTTAGACTTGCAAACACATACATGTGTCGAGAGAGAGAAAGAGTTAATGTACTAGTAGATCTCTTGTTCCTCTAATTAGACTTTGAAAAGATCTCTTCGAGATTTTGAATCGAATTTCATAAAAAGCATTTTGGAATTCATAGGCTAAATTTTTTTTCCCTCACATTCATGTATATTTTTCAACATGTAACTAAACAGAAAGGGCCTGTTTGGTTGCTTGGAAAGTTGGGGAAAGTAAAGTTAACATTCATGGGATTTTAATTCTGAGGAAAATTAATACTTTACTTTATTTTTTGATTTCTGGGAATATGATTCTGAAGAATATAAATACTTTCTTCTGTTTGGTTATATGTTGGAAAATATACTTCAATGTGAAAAAAAAAGCCTATAAGCCCCTCAAAATATTCTTTATGAAATTCGATTCAAAATTTCGAGAAAATATGCTCAAGTCTAACTACACGAACAAGAACTTATTCACGTCATCTACTAGTATGTTGACTATATGTATACCTATGTGTTTGTATGTTTAAATTTTTAATCCGTCAAAGATGATTTAATTTTGAGTTAGATTAATCAAATTTAAATTTATTATGTAATAGACATGAGATTTTGAGTGTCAAATTTATTTACAATCACTATGTTATTATCACAGGTTAAAACTACTTTATAGCTATCATAGTATTTTTTAAAAAATAATTTCTACAATATTTTGTTCAAGATTTATTTAAAAATTCTTTTTCTCATTTTTACTCCTAACATAATCCAAATCCTATCTTTTAATTTTATGTTGATTTTTTTTTTGAACGATTTTTTACATTTTTACTTTTGTATTATTGTTATTTGTAAATTAAAATTTCATTTTTTATTGATTAAATTTTTTTTTTGATAAAGTGTATAGTTTTTATGTGGCCAAATCAAATATTTTGTCAATAATGTAAAATGATCATTAATCAAATTGTAAAAAAATTTTAAAATATATATAAATAAATTAGATTAAGAAAAAATAAATAAAATATGAATGATATGAAAACGATGATAAAAAAAAAAGTTATGGAGAATAAAAAATGAGTAAATATTAAAATCTTAAAAGTTGGGAATCACAATACCACCTCCAAGGTGAGGAATCATAATCCAGGAAATTTGTGTTTATTTTCCTTGAGTTCAGGATTCTTTTTCCTTTCCCAAAAGTAAACAAACAAAGGAATTTAAAACTTAGGAAAATGATTACTTTCCTATGCCATACAAACACTTGAATTTAAAAACAATGAATCAGATTACTTTACGGCCTAGAATCTGTAACAACTAAACAGGCCCAAAAGGTATTTATATTCTTCAAAATCATATACTGAGAAAAAATAAAGTAAAATATTAATTTTCCTTAGAATTAATTTTCCAAGAATGTTAAGTTTAATTTCCCCAACTTTCCAGGCAACCAAATTGGCTTGGAAAAGTTTCCGCTATGCAGATTTCGTATTCATCCAATGCATATCGATTTGGATAGTGTTAAGAGTAGAATATCATTATTCTGCTAAAAACACGGGGCATATTTTTTTTAAAAAAAAAAAATTAATTATTTTTCAAAGAAAAATGATAACAGAACGCTGCCTACTGATAGTAGTTGGCAGTGGAAATCAGTTCTGAAAGTGAGAGATAAGGCCAGAGATGCTTTTGAAGGAAGCAGATGGAAGATGAATAGTTGTGGTGTTTATAGTATATCAGAGGGGTACCAATGGTTTATTGGTAATCAGGACAAGAAGGAGGAAAGTAAATGGATCTGGTTACGGCTGAATGTTCCTAAACATTCTTTTATAGTTTAGTTATTGTGGAACGGAAGATTATGGACCAAAAACAAGCTAATACGACACAATGTTAGGGCAGAAAATGCTCAGTGCTCTTTGTGCAACCAGAAAATTGAGACATTGCAACATCTCATCTCCCAACGTTGTTTTGCAGAAAGAGTCATAAACATGATCAAACTATGGTTAGATCTGAGAATTCTGACTATTCAGGGAGGCAAGTGGAAGACGGAAATCAAACATATCTGGAACGGAGCTGCAATGAAGAAAAAGAATACTATATGCAGTGGTCATGGCTTGCATTTATACTATTTGGAAAGAGAGAAATAGGAGACTCTTTGAAGGGAAATGCAGAATAGAGGAGGTGCTATATCAGCACATTAAAGAAACTGTAGGCATCAGGGTAAATTTTGTTGTAGCCAAAAGAAAAGGAAAGGAAAGCACTTATTTGATAAATGGTTTGATGTAAATAGTTAGAATATAGTTACAAATGTAAAAGAGCATATAGAAGGTGATGTAAATAGGAGGATTTTGTAATTGTGGAGAATCAATAATGTTGATCAAGAAAATTAGATTCACATTTTTTTTAATCAAAAAGAAGAACACTGCCTACTAAAAAATGGAGTTGAACCAATTTATTCAGCGCAGCTTTGAAAGCCTTGACGGGGCACCATTGACAACAATTTTCAACCAAGATACTGAAGTGTTTGCTTTATCTGGAAGTAAACAAGAAAGATCAAATGAAGATATATAAAATCATGCGCATGCTATATTGTTTCCTATGTATCCATTTTACTCCACACAAATAAAATAATCACTAGGGCTAGTATATTCTCTCAGCGGTGGAAACTGGACGAAGGAAGACCACGATGACAGTTATGTTGTCCTTGCTGCCACGTTCAGCAGCTTCAGTAGCCAACCTCTTGGAGCACATCCCAGGTTCTTTCACAGTATCCTTTATTATGCTTACCACTTCGGCTTCGCTAACCACGTCCCAAAGCCCATCACTGGCCATTACCTGATGATTATTAGAACAGTTCAATGAAACACCTCAAATGAGATTTTAGTAAGTGATAGCATTAAAAATGATGCTCCAAAATTTCATATTTCACAAGCAATGGTTATCTAGGTTTCGCATTCAGAAGCTTATTACCATGTACTCATCCTCCACAGAGAGTATGGTCTCAGTTATCTCCGGTTCAGCAGTAACAGCTGGTTTCAAATCGTCATCCCCGATAGAGCGAGTTACCTGATCAAAGCGAATAATGAGTTAGTAACAATATCTTTTTGTTGGTCAGTAGATTTTACTAGTATAAAGGCCTTTGTCACCCCTGATTCTAGAACATGAATCTGTTTTTGGTTGTTTCATCCCAGTAGCTATAATTAGAATTCGTGACATGATTATGTCATTCTCGTCTTCTGGAAACAGTTTGCTAGAAAATAACCTTGCACTTCTCAGTTCTTGTAAAAAATACTAAACGACAAAACCACAAGGAGATCAACCTACTTGAGCTGAACGTACAAGAATTTTCTGAATCCAGTTAGCCACAGTAACTGAAACTTCAGACATATACACAGACTTAAATTAAAAAAGAAAGAACACACGATGTAATGCTTCCAATTATTTGAGTAAGTGCTTTTACATTTCTATTAAGAGTTGCTCAAGTTATAGTACAAAAGATAAGCACTAAAAGTTAGCTTAATAAATTCATTTCTATTTCAGCATTAAGCCTTCAGGTCCAATTTTTATCAAACAGGCCAAAAACCCTTTGTTTAAAGACAAAAGGAACCCACAGACCGAAGGCAGCTGGAGCAGATGAAAATGCAAAACAAAAGTGGTACGTATTACTTTTACGAACGCCCAGGGAAAACACATGGGTTGTCCAAACTTCCAAATCATCCTATTTAATATGGGTCAGTTGCAGCATTAAGGATGTTGTTCCAGTAGAGACAAATGTTAAGAATATAGTTTCAAGATCTCGAAAACCAATGCACCCAACAAAATCCTCAACAAAATCTAAATTTAAAAGGTTCCATGATCTTTCTTAAAGCTCTGGCTATCCATTTACCGAAACTTAGTGTCTTGTTCCGAAACTGACTTTTGTCAAAGGAAGAATCCTTGTCAAGTAATATCTTTGTGCAACATCAAAGGGAGAAGCAAAGCAGTGTCCAAGAATCAGCGATCAATTTGGTGCTCTATGGAAGATATGCTTACGATTTTGTTTAATTTATTTATGAATTAAGGCAGAACTCTAGAACCCACCGAGTAAATCACTTGTATGATCTTTTGGTCAGGTTTCTTCTATGAACTCTAAAATCTGGTAGAGGAAAAGTAAATTCTCATGACACTCCCATTCATTTCAGTACTTTTATGTTCACTCACATCATCTCATAGAAATTCCTTCCCATTCTATGCTTTCTCAAGATTTTGCAGTAAATTTACTCTTAGTGTCCTAAGGATTCAAGAAGCAAGCCAACATTCCCTTGGTTTTTCCGCTTCTTATACCATAACTTCTATTCTCTGTGAGAAGACTTAGCAATGGAATCTCTCTTTTCATTCTAGAAACTTTGGGAACATCAACAGCCTCATTTCAACAAGTAAAAAAGGGGAAAATATACGACAACAACAACATCATACCCAGTATATTCCCAACTCGGTTGGGGTCTAGGAGGTCAAGATGTACGGAGCCTCACCCCTGTATTTCAATACAGAGAGTCTGTTTAAGTAGTACGACCCAAGATGCATTGATGCATTGATGTATTGATTTCCGGCAACTACAAATTAAGAAGCGCCAGAATTTAAACGAGCCAGCCATTTTGATCTAATCCATTATTAGCACAAAGCTGAAAGTGGTGTCAATGATGACTCTTCCAGCTCCATTTGCAATGGATCTAGAAAAGGGGAAAATATAGGGAGATTAAATTGAAAGAGGGAAACTAGTCTACTCTAGGGAAGCAACTACAATATACACCCATAAATGAAAAAGCTCGGAGGCTAAAGGCAAACCTGGAGAGCAGCTCGACCAACCCTCCATGTATCGATTTGCCATTTTACTTGTCCACCAGCCTTTATCACACGCTCTCTCTCCTCAGGACAACTTGCAACATGATCCTACTACATTACAGCCAATTTTAGTGCTGGAATTATGAGCTAGGTCACGAAAGAGTTTAAATTATTTACAAGATCCTTCACTAGCTATTCCACCTTACCCTGCTTAAAGCATACGGATTACCAGAACGACACAAAATCGTTCTACAATCACCGGCGTTAGCAACAAAAAGCCTGTTTTTGACAATAAGAGCAGCCACTGCAGTGCAGCCAGGGTGCCACTCTTTCTGAGATCCTCCTTTGGTTCTGCGATGAGAATTAAGTTCTTCCCTGAATGCAGCGTCTATCTTGATGAATGCTGCTTGAAGTGCATCAGATGGATTTCTGATCATATGCACAAACAAATTTAAGTTACACTGTTACATAGACACAAGGAAATTGTATTCAAGGAAAATAATAAAAAAATGAAAGTTTTAGAAAACCTGCTCATGAAGCCCAAGGTTTTCAGAAAATCAGGCAGAGCTCCAGCTGAAAACTCAGCAGCTTCTGCACCTGCATTATTAATAGCAGCAATATTTGGGTCACAACATATTTAATCAAATCATAAAACTGTTTCTCATTAGAAAGCTATCCAAACTACGAATGGCAGGCAGGGAGAGTGTGGATTTGATGATATCAGAACTGTAATAACCCAACAGGAGCAACAATATATATGAACAACAGGTCATTATTCTTCTAATGCTTCACCTCTTGTTCTGGAAAAGGTACAGACTGCTTTAATAGCTGTAAATAAATTATGTATATAGTAAGATATGAAGAATTATAACAAGCAGAAAAGAACAAATTCCCATTTACATATAAGCCATAAGTAGTTGATGTATGAAATTATTCGAGTTCTCTTCCTCAAGGGAATGGAAATTACATCTTTAGATGCAGTGGCAAACCCTAGCACTCTACCGGAACAATAGAACTTGATTCTTATGATATGGCTAGGAGGTATCACCATTGTCTAAAACTTGCCCACGTTTTCACCCTTCCCCAGTTATACTAGCAAGTCCAAAGCCTATCAAGTCTGACATAATTGAACCCATCTAACTGGTGTTTAAAATGGGTGCCTAGCTGCTGCATATCATTTGAAAAATAATTGAGAGCGCAACGACAAAATTTAAAGGTAGGTGCATGCATACCACGATGGCCATCAAAAATTCCATAAAGATGGATATAGGATTCATCACAAAATTGAGGCCTTAGAAAGTGTCTATCCTCCATAGTTTCCCTTTGTCCACAAGTTGCAAATGAACCCGAAGATATGACTGGAGAATATGTGAAAGTATCAGATGAAGACTGAAGCCACATTTCTAAACTAGAACCTGTAGAAAGAGAGACCTCTTTCGCGTAATCTGCACCACCCGTGAACCAGTTTATATTCTCTCGGTAGCTCCAGGAACCCATGGTACTCATGTGTTCTGCCACTACGGATGCTTGTGATAAAGGGTTTCCCTGTGTCTTCCTGTATTCTAAGATGGCATCAAGTTCCACAACTATATCATCAAAAGACGGCCTGTTCTTGGGATTTGCATCCCAGCATCTTTCTATTAGAGACAAAATTCTTGCTGATTCACTTGATATGGAACTAGCAAGTACTGGTCGCAATCCTTGAGTGACAACAGCAGCTGTAAGTTGTTGCTCTGTGTACTTCATTTCCAATACTGTGTGTGCCTATCATGCCAAATTTATAAAAACCCATAGCTTAACACTAAATTTAGTCAATAATTCAAAAGATAGTTTTTATGCGTATGAATACCGGTGTGTATGCACGTGGACATGTAGATAAACTTATTCACTTTAATGACATACAAAAAGACTCCAAAAGTTCTCAAAACAGTACAGATATTGTTTATTGTTTTGTTATCCTATTGAGGGAGACAACAGTTCAAACAAATCAAGAGACTGGATTCAGACTTGACAAACAACAAAAAAGTGATGCAGTATGACAGTTTGTCAAAGAAGCCACTGTAAGGTTGCTGACAACAGTGCTGACCTAAACTGTTGTACAAGAGCAACTGATAACCACATCATGGTGATGCATACTGAAGCAAACAACACAAACATGTTTTAACTCTATCAGAAGATGGATATAGAGGCTGTTATAGGCTACACCAACTGGCATATGCTCAATATTTCACAAAGATAGCCAAGATTGATGAAGTAAACCAACTACGTAGCCCATCAATTTTACCAAAATATGATGAAAAGTTACCACGCTACACCATGATATAATATACTCGGGAAACAATATTCCAACATAAAAACCATAGCAGAAAATACAAGTTGTTGCATCCTTTAATGTCTTAGACTTATTTTCCAAGCATTTTAGTACTGAACATCTCACAACCATACATTAGAAAGCAAACTAGTGCTCCCTAGATAAAAGGAGAAAAAACAAGGATCTTGAGTGAATTGAACCAATAAGTCATGGCAGGAATCTGGTGCATAAATTCAAATAGTCACATTGTCATCCTCAAAATTTCATTGCTCATGCATAACATTTAAAGGGAACAAAAAACATTTAAGGCAAGAAAAGAGAATAATCTGAGACGTGGGAAGAAAGAACTGCTTTTCTCATAATCACTTGACAGAAGAATCGAAAAGTAAAATTACGAACCTGAGCTTCTGCACGAAGGTCAGTATACGGGACAACACCAGTGAGAAGCTCACTGCAACAAAATTAAGAGCTCAGACAAATTAATGAATTAGAAAATTCATAGCACAAGGAAGAGTTAAAGTGAGCCTTTAAGGAAAAATGACCAAATGCCAAAAAAGAAAATTAAATAATCAAACGCTAATATAAATTAGGCACCAAAATGCCAAGAAGAAATATAAATACATTTCCCAGATGCCACTCACCCACAATCATATCAGGCATACACGAAGGATCTGATATACACGTCAAACACGAATATAAATAAGTTGCGCATGCAAAAATTTTAAGATTTAGCTGTTTGGGAAGACACCAAAGTTCGTTATCTTAACAGAATATAGCAAAAATCACCTTTCCAGTTATCCAGAATCCTGCATGGCAATTGTCCATTACCAGCATTAAATAATACCAACAGCAAGCTAAAGAGTTAGCATTCAAGAAACTACCCCAGCAAGGAACTGTTCAGGTTTCAGAGAATTGTCTCTTAATTGACCAATCAAAGAAATGCATCCAGAAGACAGTATCTGTTTCAATGGTATGCACATAAGAAATAGAATACAAACTATCTCCATAAAAAAGTTTACTACTCAGGCACTTGAACAATACTCATGAGGTAATTGTTCATCCTGGTCATGTCATCAATTATACATTCCTTCAATTCTCCAAACCACCAACCACCCAAAACATGATACGTATCAGAAAACCACAAATTTAATTGAGTAGAGGTCTTGAAATTTTCCATTGCTAGTCACAACTTTAACGAGCTAAATACCAAAAATTTTTATTTCTCATTCACAGGATCAATTCAATGTATAGTACAATACTATGTAAAACAAAAAAAACGAAAATATCTATAAAATGTGGGGTCAAAGAACAGCTATTTCATATAGCTTTATCAACGAAGAATCGACCCATTCTCATTTAAGCAGGTCTACGGAATCCGCTAAATGCTAGCTTAAATGTATATACAAAGAAACACCATCCAGAAAAGTGCCATAATGGGGGGTGGTGTTGCTATTTATGAAATTTCTTAACTAATGTCCTCCGAAAAGTCCAAAAAGAAGCATTCAGCGGAAGTCCTAGACGAAGTTCATTTTTAAGAACATTTTGGTTAAGGCTTATAAAGAGACATGTTGATCTCAAACCAAGTACACATAGGGACACTCGTAGAAATGCACTAGTCAGTGCTTGACAGACTAAGGAGGCTACTTTACTTCAAAGCAAGAACCAATACATCAAAACATATTCATTATTCACAATGCTGAAAGGTAATGCCAACTGCAAATTTAAGTCAAATATATAATATTGAGCAAAAATACTTCAATTTTGATTCACAATTTTCACTTGTTTCCACTTTCCATTAATAAAATAGAGAAATCTTCAATATCTTACTTGAAAGAGATGCCAAAACTGTACACATCTGACTTTTCTGTCTGAATATCTTTTGACAGTATTTCAGGTGCCATGTAAATGAGAGTCCCCACCATGTTTCTCTTGTGGAAGCCACCAGTTGGTTTACCAGATGATTTCCAATTACTGATCGAAACTTGTTTAATGTCACTTCTGTACTCTGCCAAACCGAAGTCTGCTAAATGCGGATTAAGATTCCTGTCAAGCTGCATCAACATAATGTAATCACTAATTATCCAGCAAAGGCAACAAACTCGATCCATGAAGTGCCAGCCAAATAAATCCATGAGCATGTAGGAGTACATATTCTTTTTGCCTTGCCACATATATAAATCTGCAGTTAACTTCAGAGTCAGCAAAGAACTTACAAGAATATTTGATGGTTTCACATCTCTGTGTACAATTCCAAGATTATGAAGGTACTTCAAAGCTTTTGCTGCAGAGGGAACCAATAGTCATGTGTCAAACCAACAATCTTCGAAGAGAAACGTACAACTCTCTATCAGCTTTTCTTATTAAGGAACTTAATAATTGGAAGTGTAAACGGAAGGAAAATTCGGAACTTTCCATGTTGTGAATTTGTGAAATATTCTTCTATCATCTTTATATGAATCATTGATCGCTATTCTTGCAGAGTATCTTAACACATAATACACCTTCCATATTTCTCTTTCTTTTGGGCATAAATCAGCTCAACAAAGTAAATTCATTTAGCTAGAACACAACATAGAAGGCATGGCCAAGGGTAATCAAGAGAACCCTCCCCAGCTATGGCCCAAGGAAAAGTATCATAATAGATACTCCTTTCATGGAAGAAAGTAAATTGACATAGTATTCTGGCCAGGGAGGAAGCAATACAAGTTGCTAGTATATTCATTCCCATGCCAATAAATTAAAATTTCCATATATGGAGCTAGGAAGCTCATTTTCCACCAAGATACTCTTAATTCTTCAACGCCTTGCAAAACAAACAACAAAACAAAAATACACCAAATCCAAGGACTAAATCAGTTTTCAACACTAACAACTATGCATATCATTCAATTGTCACAATTCCTGAAGTGTCAGCTTGCTGAACAGTATTCTTGACTTAATGTGGCAAAGCATTTGTTCAAAGCCTTACACTACAAGATGCTATGATTGCTTTTCTCTATGTTCATATATAGCTAAACTGATAGTATATGATCAGCCACTAAAATCTTAATTACAGTTTTCATATGAATATGATCATATGATTTACTTCGTGAAAAAACTTTGAGAAATTTCACACTCATGGGCCGAGTTTAGAAGAGATTATGATAGAGTAAATTTTACCAACTCGAAGGGGAAAAGGAATTTTTTTTTTTTTTTTTGGGGGTGCGGTGAAAACAGTTTCTGAACACACTATTCGAAATTTTAAATTACCACAAAAAGTTAGCCTATGCTCCCAATTCTTTTTCAAAGGAGAAAATTAAATACCCTCAGCCACTTTCTTTTACATCAGAATCATCATTCAAACTGAAGCTACAGATAAAGAAAAGTTAAGTTAAAAGTCTTTATAGTTTCTTGATCTAGTGTCTCTTCAGATTGCATCCTTCAAGAAACATACATCAAAATACTAACTAGTCACCTGAAAAAGGCCATTGCAAATATGTATAATCACAATGACACCCATAGATACACATCCATATATGTAATGCTTGTATATTACCAATTGTAACATCAATTGCAAGTACCTAAACTCCAAGCAATATGAACAACTTGATCAAAGGTTGGAACCCATTCATCCACATGCAATTTGTCAGCAAGATTTCCGTACTCGTAAAATTCGAAGAAAAACATGTAATTTGGAGGCTGAGCATGCGCTGCAACTAGCTTAGCGATCCCCGGATGATCCAACTTGCTTAAGTCCCCAAATCAAATCAAACCAAAAAAAAAAAAAAAGAAGAAATCACAAAAACAAATTTCTCATTACTGATAAGCCAACACAAAGTTTAAAAAGATAAAATAAAATAAAACAACGGAACCTGAACAAAAACCTACCAAAGTAACTGCAATTGCTTATGGAACTGATCAAGGTCTTCAGAGGTAGACAAAATGGGCTTTCTAGCAGCTACTTTTTTTCCATCCAAGGTTGCTTCATAAACCACACTTTCAGCCCCTGTAAACAAAACCCACAAGCCACAAAAATGTAATCACCGCCATTCAATAATCCTCCATCAAAATTTTCATAAATGAAGACAAATTCAAGAACCCGGTCCACGTTTTCTTCAAGCAATGATAAATAACCGCATACCTCGAGCAATTTGTGAAGAGAGTGAGTAAGAAGAAGGCGGAAGACGAAGAGGGATTGTGTGGCTATGGCAACAACCTCGAATACATGTATTTGGCTCAACAATTTCTAGCCCCATCTCCTTATCTTTTGTGTTGAAGATGTATTTTTGGAGAGCGCTGAATAGTTGTGGTATTCTGATTTTTCCCTTTTGCAGCAAAGAATCGGGAACACGGCAAAACTTACATCAGACGAGCATTCCTATATCTTCTGTCTCTGCAGTTCTGCTGTGTTGGATGGATTTGGAATCAATGACATTATAATTGTGAGGGCTCTCCTGGAGATTATGAAAAAAAAGAAACACCCTGCTTTTAGATTTTGGATCAAACCTCGGGGATGTATTTGATTTTAACCCTATTACCATTAACGGCTATCGTGGTCAAAATCAAGATTATTACTCCCTCGGCCAGAAAAAAAGAAAGTCTCACATTGAAACTCCCGAATCTGCTGTATTTAATTCAAGAGTGGTGATAGGTACAGGAAAAAATTACAAGGAAAACTTACAAAGAATGATGTGTTATTCATTAAAACTATGCTCTAAACTTAAATGCTTAAACCCTCAATGGAAAGTTTTAAGAATCATTGGGTATGATTAATTCTTTGTCCTTGTCATTTTTTTCTTGCACTAATTAGTATCCTTAATTCAATTTGAAATAATGTGAATTTTTTTTTGGGATATCAGCAAAAAAAAATTTCCATTATTACAAGTGAAAGCATCCAAGAAAAATGCTCCTACTATTGGAATAGTGGGAGTATTATTTTTTTTTTTTTGACATTTTAAATTGTTGGGTATTTTTTTAAAAAGAAAATTGTTTGGTTATTTATACTATTGAAGAAACATGAAGGAATAGTAAATGCTCAGAAATAATTTATTGATGTGTATACTATGAGACAATAATAAAACATTATATGGGGACGATCGCATGAAGTAGTATTAGTTATTCAATAGTTGGGGGAAGATATTCGGACAAAACTATCTATTATAAGTGACAATTTGTATAAACTACAAAAAGTTGATATATACTTAATATTATTAATTACCAAAAGGAAAAACCCAAAACCCATTGATGTTAGCCAGGGAGAATGTAATGAACTTGGTGAAGGGCGAAAAATACAAAGGCAAAGGAAATTGGCAGGAAAGTCACTAGTGTGTGTCCAATAGTGGGGGAAGGGTTTGGAAGATGTGATGGTTTCAAATATGGTGGGGATAGTAATTACAAACAGGTTCAATTATGATAAGTTCAATTGGAAAAAAAAGAAAAAGAAAAAAAAATCACTCAATGGTGAAGAACGTGCGACTTCACATTCAAATTATTATCTGCCCTTCCAATTTGGGGCGACTGCAAAAAGAAGAAAAGAGAAATCAAATTCATTTCCAGAGTTGTTTATATAATTCCTTAAATCTTGATTTAAGTTAATTTTTTTCATCATCAACTTTTATATATATATATATATATATATATATATATATATATATCATTTGGGACTTTAATCACTTCAGAGTTCAGACGTGAATTTTGGTATTGATTCCTTCATAAATGTACCTATCTTATAAATTAAGAAAAACAATTATAAAAATTATTTCTCCCTCTCTTATTTCAATCTGTTGATCTTGTTCACAAATAATATTGATGATATAAATTACAATTTTGTAATTCTTAATATCAATTCGTTTTGTTATTTTAAGTATATATAGAATAATTTTCAATATTCGAAATTATCTAGTGTAACTTATTGTCTATCCTTTTCATTTGTTGATTTATGACTTTATATTTTTTAAAAATATTCTCTTAATTTTTAATAATAGTCTCTCGAAATGTTTCTAACCGTTTTATATTTATGAAACTCTCCCTCTAACAAAAAATTTTGTCAGTATTTTTTTCCATAAATCTGTCTTTATTTTCCATATTTTGATATATCTTTTGCTACCTTTCTTTAGAAATTTGTTTGTATATTTTCTTATAATATAGTACTTACTTCATTTTTTCCTTTGTTGAATAGTCTTTGCCTGTTTTTTTTCTTATACTTAAATAAAAGGCATAGTAGCCAAGAAATAATGCCCAAAAAATATTCAAGGACTATCGTCAAATCGATCTTGTCCGTCGGATTGGGTTGATATGATGTCAGCGATTTATTAGGGTTAAAATTGTCAAATTACGCATTTAAACCATCCAAATAATTTACAATCCGTAATGTACTGAATTATTACAAAAAACAAAACTCCCCCAAACGCAAAAAAAAAAAAAAAACCCAATCGCAAAAAAAATGATCCCGTCTTGTCTTCCGTCGTACTCAACATTTTTAACAACCCCCTTAGCCGCTAATCCCTCCGGCACCCACCTTCGGACCTTCTCCCTCTGCCACCCTCCATTAAAATAAATTCTTCCTTCGCCGCTTCTTCCTCCGGCCCCCTCAGTCTAATAGATTATCCTCTACATTTCCGGCAGAATCTAACTCTCCGCTTCTCCATTTCCAGCGGCAGCTTATCCACCAAAACCATCGCACCGCCGACGGCGTTCCTACCAATGCTCTGAACATGAGATTGGACTGTGTAGTTAATTTGGGCGACCAAGCAACGATTTCCGTTCTTCTTCTTCAAATTGGATTATTACGAAATCAGCAAAAAAAGAAAAATTTCCAATTCAGATTCGTCCCCTTTTTTTACAATCCCAATCGAATTATAAATTCAGTTACGGTAGGAAATCACCCAAAAAATAGGCAAATTTCCAATTCTTATTCGTCCCCTAATTTGTGAATCCCAATCGGATTACAAACACCATGACGGCATCTGCTCTATAAATACAACAGCAACCCTCACAAATAGAATGGCATCCCGATCGGATTTCTAATTACGGCATCCCAAAAATTCTTTCTTATTATTCATACCTTTTTTTTTTCCTTCCTGCAAATTTTTTTAGAATGGCTCCTTGTGCATCAAAGATGCTTGCAAACAAGGTTGCAATTGACAAGCTCAACGACTCTGATCAGCCTTGAACTGCTATTATCACTGTCGAGGAGAAGCAAAATCCATTCGGCCACTACACTAAAACCCAAAAGATGGTATTCAGCAATGAAAAGGTGAATTACATTATCTATATTTGTTAGTTGTCACACTAATTTTCTCCTCACATATTCATAATATTAATATTTGATTTATTATTGTAGGGTGCTAAAGTAGAAGGTATTATGTTCGGACAGGCCGTCAGCATCATGGGACCACGATTCCAGATGTGTAGAAAATACCAAGTCTCCAACGCACCTATCCGGTACATTAAACAAGAGTATAGGTCTCCTGCTCTTTCCAAACAATGGGTCATTGGTCTTGGACGGTTGTTGAAGAGGTTAACGAACCTATTACTACTCCTGTGACCAAGGAGCAATACACGCCCTTTGATTCCCTTAATGATTTTGAGATGGTTTTGTTGGGAAGTGTATTTGTTTTACTTAAACATTCTTATCAAATAGAAAACTTATGTTGATATATACTCTTTTAAACAACCTTTTTCTTACAGATGTTATTGGTATCATAATGGAGAGAAGCCACGGCAAACCGTTACGACAGGAAAAGGGAAAAAAAGAATGATCCAAAAGTTCTGTAAGATAAATGAAGAGTAAGTTCAATATAATGGTTTTCGAATTATTTATACAATGCTTTTTCGAAATGCCAAATTTATTTTCCGTGAAGTTCCCATCAGAATTACAAGGATGATACTCATGTAGTTTTATGAGCTGCTTTCCATTTTGATAATCTGATTATTGTTGTCCTTTTGTGATTGTTTTCATGTACTATTGTTACACTTGTATGTTGCATCTCGTTTTCTGAAACGGTAGCAAAAGGTTTGCTAGATATTTAATTCGGAATACACCTCTTTGTTTTAGTTTACGGAATTTAATCATGATATTTTGGTAAAGTAGCTAACACTTAATTTCGATACTGCCTTCTCAATCAGGTTGCAATATGTGAGATTGTCACTTTGGGAAGAATTCCACCAGATGTTGGAATATTATTAACTGAACAAGTTCAAGCTAAGAGTTACCCGACCGTCGTTTATCGCCGGATGCTTATCTCTGCGTTCTACGGTACACTAATAAGCCCTTTTTAAAATAGACTCCTCAACCATACTTTTTCTGCACACTTGTTCTCTAATAATTTAATTCTCATACTAATCAGGAATTCAGGTAACAACTTCACATAGATCGGTGGTTTTGATCAATCCTCCTTCTGACAAAGCAAGGAAATTGAGGAACTGGTATATATTTTTATTTTTCTACACCAACTTTTACAAAATTTTTCAGCATATTAATTACTTTTTTAACTTTTTCAGGTCACAATAAAACAGGAAGGAAATCGATCTTTTCTTGCAGAATAAACCATCATTCTCGTCTACTCCTGGCATCAGTCACAAAAAACCTTTCACAAATCACTCCAGTCACACATATCGATGATGAACAACAGGTTAACACGCTTGGTTCCTATCTTTATGCAACATGTATTAGTTCTTCTTATATTTCTTCCTTCAAATTAACTAAGCTTTAAATTTTGCCAAAAAAAATTAGGATATCTTAGTCAAAATCCATGTTGAGTTCAGAGATATACCACATCAGCAATTTATCAACAAGATTTCAAATGCAACAAGTGGTCATTAAAGCAATCTGCAACCAACCCAAAGTATATCAATTTCAATTTCTTAAGATACAGTTCTGAAACATATGCAAATTTAGAAATATTATATGTGACATTTTAGCCGATTAGATGATTTCGAAATATTCCTAAATCTTACTGTTCACATTCTAGGTGTCGTCTAAGAGCTAACATTCATGACGAGAGCGGATCAATCTAAGCTAGCATTTTCGGTAGCATCGCAGAAAAGATATTGGGTTTCACTGCAACAGAAATCGTTGAGAACCCTGAAAATGTATGCACATTCTTCGTTTCAGCTATTCAAGTTCATAAACACGCATGTTTCAAAAATCCAATGTTTCCTTCCTTTATATATGCATTGAAAAATGACACGTCCTTAATATCTTATTTGTTTTTTTTAATAGATAAATCTTAAAGAAATACATGAGCTGTTAGAA